TGCCCGCTGCTTCCACTGGGCCACTGCTCTGTAGGAATTTCGCTATCCAGTCCCTGGGTCTCTGCGTCTCTGGCTTTATTTATGGTAGCATAATAATGATCAAACATTTGTCTTCTGCCTGCTCATCCTGCGTCCATTTTTCGATTTTTTTTTTGCCTTTTCTGAACCCGCTGTGGTGTTGTGTGCTGGCATACAGGGCGAATGAGCAATACCTTGAAGTTTGATTAAAACTTAATTACATTGCCCTCGAGCTGGTAGTCGGAGTCGGTAATTTAAGCAACGTTTGTGCAAGGTAATAAGCTTGTGGATTGGAGTCATAGGATAAACCGCAAGCTTCTCGTCATGTGTCCTTGTTGTGTGTGTGTGTGTCCTTTCCTGCTGCATTGAGAAATCAATAAACCAAAGTCAGAGCCAAGGCGATGATGACGATACTGCTACTCTGGCTGGCATTCTGATGAGCTTGCCACTGCAGCAAGAGGGACACCATTCCCCACATCGACACCAAACTCCTCTGACCCCTGATGCATGCGGTTTGTGGCTGAAAAACAATAGAATTATCTACGGATATACCCGATCATGGGGTGCCAAAAAGGAAAGCATCTTGTTTGCCAGTCAATCAATAATATCTAATGATCCCCCGGTGACGCAGTGCGTCAGAGAAAATTACTAAAATTCAAGTTGTTTAATGTGGTAAATGAAAACTATTGGTACACAAAGAATAAAACCGATTAGTTACTCGTCTTATTTATAATTGCATTGCTCTCATCTTTTTTGTACTTAAAAAAATTCAAATATATTATGTATATAAGTTTTTTTAAGTGTACATTTGTTTCTGAAACTACTTTTATCAATATTATTATCAAAAATTAAGGCTAAAATAATTTATTTTATTATTTATTTTGATTGCTGTAATTTTGTCATTTTGTTATATACATTAATAAGTTCAAACACGATAACATATCATTTAAGAATTTTTTTTAAAGTTTTGATGTTTCGACATATCGAAACATATCTGCTCCAAAATACTTCATAAAATTTCTTATTCTGTGCATTATTGTCGAGATAAGCTTAAATTTTGGGACATTTTCCATTTGATTTGATGACCAAATGCAGTTGCTTCTGCTGCTGCTGCTAATTTGCTTTTCCCCCGCTGGCAGTGTAAGTCACTTCATCTACGGCATGTATCTGAAAAGTTTTGCAATAGCATTTGGAAAAATACAAGGGACAAGTTTGCGCCACGCCACGCCAACTTAAGATCCGCCCCGAGAGCAGCGGCGTCTGTCTGTCTCGCCAACCGCAAGCTACAACGATTTCCCATCCCCCCCATCGTAAGAAATTTGCAAACATTCAAGGCAATTAAAACTGTCAGATGGTAGAGTGGAAAAGTAGGGTGGTGGTGGGTGGTAGCGAAAGTGGGCGTGACCTCCCTGCGCAACGCTGATAAGTTTCATCCATGGCACAGGGCCAACGGGCCACGGCCAGCATTCTGACCACTAAAGCTGTCCGCGGGTCCAAGTGTCCCAATGTCCAAATGTCCGGGACGTCCAGCCTGGCCACTCAACAGTCAACAGAGTCAGCTGTGCTCCATGTGGGCACGCAAAAGTTTTTGGCCCACATTAGTTGGGATTTGTGTTTGAGCTGGAATATTGTGCTCTATGGTCAGATCAGCGCTTTTGGTTTTTGGTTATTTTTTTGTTTTTCCCTGCCTTGCTAGCTGGCTGGCTGGCCACACAAACAAAAGCAAAAGCAAAAGCGGCGGCCAGGATGACAACTGGTGGAGGCAAAGGCAATGGCAAACAACAAGGATGGCACAAATTAAGTGCACACTTCCTTTGCATATTTAAATGCCCCTATATACTTCCGCTTTGAGTGTGTGTGGGCTCGTCCTGTGTGTCCCTGTCTCCCTGTGTTTGTGTGAACAAACATTTTTTTTCTACCATTTGTTTGCATGTTGAACATGGCCAGCAAACCCGGCTACGCCTGTCCATTGTTGTTTGATTTCTAACTGAATTGAATATAATTTAAGCTCATGTCCTGCAAACTAACCTGCAGATCGCCTTCTCTGGGCGATTTCATAAATATTTATTATGCCCTGACCGAGCAATGTGTCTGCTGTGAATGCCTGCGGTTATTTATTTATAAGTAATATATCTGGGCGTGGCCCCAGCCGTGTGTGTGAATACCTAATATGCCTAAACGAAGCCGAGATTGAAAGAGAAATTGAAAACCTATTGATTTGGGGCGGAAAATTCGATTAAAGTAGAACTGAAACAGATGCAAACCAAACCATACATAGAAAGAAAATTTATATTATAAATGGTGAATTGTGTATACAATTTTGATTCGGTTTTCGTATATTTTGCATTACAATTTAATATTATTATTAAAAATTAAAACAATATTTTGTATCTAAATTCTCAAGAACATGTTTAAATCAAGAAAACAAGATGAACACAAAAGAAATTAGCTATTTATAAAAATTTTACTTCTTTAAAACAGATACAAAATCTTAAATTATTCCTTTTATTATAAAGAGCTTAAAAACAATTTTTTACTTTTGATAGTTTTGGCAATTGGTAAGATTTAAATTTAAAAAACTAATAAATAATTGCTTACATTGATAAGATTGCTTTTTTTATTTTTTCTTTTAAGTAGAACTGAATAGTAAATACCTTTACTTTTTAGAACTGAAAAATAAATCCCTATACTTTTGAAAACTGTTAGAATTATAAAAAAAATTAAAAGGTACTTAAAAATTAGCACATTTAAACAATTTTTTAATTTAAAAAATTATAGATATGTTATTAACATGTTTTTTCCCTGTGCAGAGCTGCATCATTGCTGGAATCAAAGGACCATAAACCGCTGACACTGCTTCTTGTTGGAGTCCCAAACTGAATGGCAAGGCAAACTGCCGATATGCCATTTGCTCCGTGCTCTATGCACTGCCGTAAAAACACAAATGAGGAGGAGGCTTTCCGTGCTATTGCGTGTGTTTGTGTGTGCTTTTACTCGATAGCTGGAAAATTGAAAATGAAAATCTATTGCGAATTATCGTAGTCGCCGGGAATGTCAAGTTCAGACAAAGCTGGATTAATTGCCAACGCAGCAACTGATGGAGCAATTTTAATTGCGAACGGATTAATGGGTTAATCCTCCAGGCTGCCAACTATAGTAAGTATATTTTTGAGGGCAAAACAATCAGAGCCATGCAAATATGTTTCTAAGAACAAACTAATTAGTGGAACGAAAACATAGGCTTTTGTGGCCTGGCTTTCGCATCCCGTTGGCTGCACTTTAATTACTCTCAATGAGCCGCACTTGACCATAAAATTAACATAATAATTGGCCAGCCAGCCAGCCAGGCAGCCAGCTATCGGCTGAGTTCTTAGTTCCGAGTTCCAAGTGCTGAGCAGTGAGTACTGAGTTTTGAAGGAATTTTACTCCGGCTGGCGAAAGCCGACAGGCAACGCGTGACTTGGCAGCAATTTCGGCCAAAGACGAGACGAGAGGCTGATGTTTTCAACTGCTTTTAATTACAACGTTGACATGTCTAAGCTGCTTTCGATACAAGCGAGGCGGACCTAATAGGATTAAGGCGATGACGTCGCTGGTTGGAGGTCCTGTCAACTGGCAGGCAAGGCAGAAACTGAAATCAAGCATACGCCGCGTGGTGCCACGATTTTCGACGCGGCAGAGCGATGAGAGCGATGAGCTCTGACATCGAAGACTAAGAGGTGTCATGCCCGCGTATTTAAAAATAACAAAAAAAAAAAAAAAAAAAACCGGAAAATGAAAATGAAATCTAAACGCCAACGAAGCACGGCATGCATACTTATGCAGGCGACTGTATTTAATGGCCACTATGCGCTGCGTGCAAAGAAAAAGGCGTAAATTTTGCTAATGGCCTGAAAATTGGGCAATTTTATAGCCTCATGAATAAAAGATTTTCATTTTACTTCAATTACAGTCAAAGGCAGAGCCAGCCAGTTGCCAGTCAAGGATGAAGTCAAGATAGCAACCACACACTCACACACACACACATCTTGAGCCGCACAAGGACTTACACTCACACTCACACACTCTTAAACACACACACATATCCCATATGCGACAAGTTGGCGGCCACAATCTTGGATTTATACGGCTTCGAGTGGCTTCAGTGGCGGTTAAGAGGAAAGTAAGAGCCCCCTGCCTCCGCTCAACTTGCCTATTTAAAAATTAAATTGTATAAAATTTTAATGCCAGCCAACGCGAGTTATTAGCTAGCTTTATAGCTATCCTATGGCCCCACCTGAATCCTGCTAATCGACTGCCAACCACGCGATGATTACAAAAATTTCCACTTGGCCGCATATTTTCCTGATTAATTCTAGGCCAATATAAAATGCGCACCATGAATTTTTCATACCACAAAAGCGCCACCAAATATGCCAAACCAAAAATATACAAAAAAAAAACGAAATGTTTAAGCAAAGGGCATAGTATAGCACAGCATAGCATGGCAAATAAAACGAAGCTTACTTTATACAATTGGCAAACCGCAAACAAAGTGAATTTCATTTCAGTTTGCGGCCACAGACGTGTCAGTTTGGACACATGAATGATGAATTATATTCGGTGGTCATTTTGGAATATATATTTCACCAGCAAACCAGTAGCAATAAAATATACCCCCCGAATAATCACCATGGTCCCGAAAAATCGGGGGCAAAAACCACAGAGAGCTGTTTGCAAAGCTGATCAGGAACTTGGTCTTGCATTTTACAATTTCGAGAGTCCTGGAGGGTCCTTTTTTCCGTTTGCCAATATATAATGTATAGTATACAAGTCGATCGGTCAAACCTACTGGCTGGCATAAATAAAGTGATTTCGATTTAAGCTTCCAACATCAACTCAATTTCAATGCCAAATTGTTGTTTCCAACCCAACGGCGTTCACTGGGTGACTTTTCCATTGCCCCATTGACAAGGGGGCGTGGCAGAGGGGCGGAGGGGCGGCTGGCGAGCCAGTGCTTAATTGAAAAACGTAATTAACTTGAATTTTCTGCTTTTGGCGTTTATTGCCGCTCATTTGCAACGGGCCATCGAAACGGTTAGGGTCGCCGATGCAGCTGCAGCCTGCGTATTTATTTGCACTGCACCGAAGTGCACCGTGGATGTGAATGTGGATGAGGATGCGGATGGTCAGCTCCATGATGATGGGATTGGGAATTGAGTTTGCGTTGGATTGGGTTTTTGGGCCATGCACTGCACTACCCAGACTTGATGATGATAAGGTTCCTGCTGTTTAAGGATGGCAGACTATACAGGTGATGACTTTATCGATACTAAGTTTGAATATCACAAAAACATTAATTAACATTGAGTTTCATATTATTTTTTAAGTGCTTAAGTACGAAGTACACTTGACCCATAATTTGTGCTGCAAAACCATATTTATCCTACATCAAACTTAGTAGAAATATAAACCTAAACATTTTAACGAGTTAAAAATTTAAATAATTTAAACAAAAATCGTTAAGATAAACCCTCAGAAAAATCCAAGGGTGCTCGAAACTATTTACATAAATCCATTAAAAGCTTGTAAATACTTTGTATAAACACAGAAAGATATTTTAGAAAAAGATTTTGCTTTCGAGAAATAGATTGGTTGTCTTTAAACCTTGATTAAGCTTTATCATCGAGAGTACCTGCTAACGATGTTTTGCCAGCTCCGCAGGCGATGATGTGGCTTCGTGGGCCTGTTATTGCTGACCGCAATACGTGGCTCCAAACGAAATCAGTGGAACGGCAATTGGCAGCCAAATAAGCAGCCAGCTCAGACTGAGAAATCACTCTGCCTTAAATCCGTTCTGCAACTTTAAAAACTCTGTGTAAAGCTGCACCAGATTCATATTTCGTAGGAATTTTATTTTCCACCTGGGCTAATAAGCTACACAATTAGCTGGGAATGGGACTAGGACTGGGTCTGGGGCTCTCTGAATGGGACTTTGGATGGAGCCCTTTTGCCGCAGACCAACCAACCAGTGGGTAGCCCCTTTCGGGCTGCACCTAATTATGTGACCAAAAAGGGGCGAGGCCCGGCAAGTGAGGCATGGCCTGTGAAAGCAAATGTTACCTGAAACACGAGTAATTAGTAATTTAAAATGCCGCACGTGCATTGAATAGCTCTTCTAGAGCATCTCCTTTTTCTTCTTCAGCTGCTACTGAACGAAGGCGAAGGCGAAGGTGAAAGCGAAGGCAACGTTGATTGAACGCTTAAGCTTGCTTGGGTAGGGCAAACACGTTTAATTTAATTGTTGATATGGCGACTCTACAAATGAATCGGCCCCGGCCAAAAGCCATAGACTCAATCTCAGTTTCCCCTTGTCTGGGAAAAGTGTCCCCTGTGCCCTGGTTTTTACCCAGTCCTCCTATAGCAAGTTTGTCAGCTAAGAAAATCCAAGTTGGCGTTGGCCCGCTGTGAGCCACATGCTGCGTCAAAATAAGTAAACATGACGGGACCACAGTCAACTGTGAACCAAAGTTGCTGACTTTACAGCTGGAGGAGAAGGGCAACTGTAACTGAAACCGAAACTGGGGTACAAAAAATAGTAGTCGAGAGCAAGTAATCTGCCATAATTAACTAAATAAGCAAGCGTGGCCAAATTTGTAGCTTACAAAACGACAAAGGGGGACTGACTGCCTGTGGTTTCTCTTCTTTTTTTTTTTTTGGACATTCAACCCTGCGAATTATAAATGTATAATTGATTATCCTTTTAATCGCTTTAATTTCCCGTTATACGTCGTGGGGCAAATAAAACATGAAGGTTTTCTAATTCCCGGCCATTACTCATACGCCAGGTGAGCCGCAAATGATTTCAATTAGCCCAACTAAATAAACCATTAAGCGTTTTATTAAGCTCTGCTAAATTTGGTTAAATATTTTAATGGCACATAAAATTAAAATTTAATTAACTTGCACACACTATGTCCTGCCAAACGATTGCCATAAGCTGCGACAAGGGGGGCAATACGAATCGAGTCGTTTTTCACAAAAGCGTGTAATTAAATTGCATGCGGGAAAAACTATGGCAAGCAGGAAATTATTTAAATATTCATTGTGGCATCAAGGCATGTACATGGTGCATGCAATAGCAACACAATCAACTGATGAATGAGCTAGCAATAATGAACTGCAAACAGGCGACACGTGCAGCCACCACTATGGAAATCCTGCTGCCCGTCAATGTTTTTTGTTTTTATTTTCATGTTTCATTTTCCATGTCCTCTTGCTTTTCATCTTCGTCATTGATTGAAAATATTTCGAGTTAGCTCGGACTAATAAGAAAGCAATTATTTTTTCCTAATTTGTTTTCCCAGATTCCAGACCCCAAACCCATTTCTCCGCCCCTGGCCATTGCGAATCAGCTTAAAATGTTGCTCAAAGATTTTGTGAGAATAACCAGAACAACAATGCAAAAAATGCGAAGCAAAATAAACAAGGGAAAAGTTGATAAAGCAAAGTGGCCAAACCGAAACGGGGTATCTAATCGGGTTAGGCCATGCTATGAAGAAAATCGAGAACGCTCCAGCTTTCAATTAAAAAGAGTTTTTCTATTTTAAGTTTACAAATTCGAATTATAATAAATAATATTTTATGAGAATCAAAGGCAAAATGGTTTTGGTAAGCTGACACTTTCAAGGATAAATATTTTTTTAAATATAAAAGCAAATACTTTAATCACAATAATCATTTGATATTGTTCAGGAAGGTAACAATGTTTTGATTAACTAAATTATTGGCACTAATTTATTTTAGTTATTTTCTACTACGATTTAAATTCCTAAGCGAAAATAAAATGTTATTAAAGCATGTTTCTAAAGTGATTGCATTTTTCAAACCATAAATGTTTTACGTAAATTTATTAATATGTTTCTTTTGTATACAACTTGTATGTTATTTTCCCCTTAAGTTTATTAAAAAATCCATTATGTACAGAAATGTCATTAAATCTGCTAGGACCCTGGAGAGTTTTCGCCTCATATTTAAATTTTTTTTTCTGGTAGGGCACCGAAAGTCCGCCAAGCCAAGGCCGCGCACTTGGCCTGTTGTTATTTTTATTCTACTTTCCATTTACAGTACCCCTGCTCAAGGACTTGATGGTGGGGAGGACGAAGGACCCTGGTCGGCAGGCAATTTTCTGCTTAATAAAAATTAAAAAGGGTTATGCGCGAGAGGCAAAAAGTTTTTCATTAAGCTGCCAACGATGATGATGATGGCGAAGGCGGTCGACAAAAAACGTAAACGAAAACGAAAACTCAACCCAACAGACAGCAGAATGAGGCGGTGTTGTTGGTGGAAATTTAAGCCTTGGCTTCGGCCGAACGGGATGCCGCAAATTTGATAATGAAGATAAATGTTTATCGCATTCAGGGGCGTGGCCGTTTGCCAAAAAGTTTGTTACGCAAATTTTCACGTTGATTATGCCAATAAAATCAATGATAAGCGTGCTCATTTCTCCCCCTCAGCAACAAGCGAATTTCGGACCGCCCACCGGTCCGGCTGAATGCCAAAACTTTTTCCCCCGACAAACAAATGAATGTCCAAACGCAATGAATTAACATGATAGGGATAGAGGGTGATTTCATCCACCCTCCTAATAAATGCTAGTAAATATATTCGCGAAATGAGATTGGTGCAAGTGGAATGGATGCGACGCGTTGAGCCGCAAGTAAATTGGTTTGCCGTGTCATTAGTGAAAAACCTGTCCACATTTTGGCACTAATTAAATTTCATTTGAGTTTTTCAACTCAGTTGTGGCCAGTGGCCAGCATGCACACACGCATTTTAATTCTCACTCGCGCATTTTGTCAAATTTAATTGTTTAAATTCGAAATGAAATAACAATTGCGTTGGCCAAAATTTACACTAGAAAATGGGTCAAAGATATAAAATAAAAACGGACTCTAAGTTCTTAACTTATTAAGATAACTTTCCAAAAATAAATTATTTTCGTTTATATTATCTTTATGAAATAGCTTTCTTAAACTACTCTTAACGCCAATGGTAAGATAAGTTCTAAGATAAGATTATTTTGGCATTAAAATACTTTATTTAGGTTTAGTTGAATAAAAAAATGTATATAGTTTATCGATATGAAATAATGAATTGAAGCTACACGTAATGGAAATTCAACGTATGTAATTTTTTTATAGTTAACTAAGAAAATTAAATTTTTTAAATTTATAGATCTTCTTAATAAATTGGAATGAAGAAATGTATTTGTTGAACTGTAGTTTACTCTTATCGCTAACGCACCTTGTTGAATTCTTTAGAATTTTATAGATAGGAAATTTGGGGTTCTGTTCTATAGGCTTTATATTATCTTATCTAATCTTAGATATGTTGAAGTATAAGAACAGATGGAAATTTAAACCAAAATTTTAACTGCGTGCCTATAATCATGTAAATATTAGTAAGATATTTTCTTAAAGGTAAAATTATATTTATGCAAATACATGTTACGTTTGTTCGAAACCCTTAGATAAATTATGTCCTTTTTGGTCAAGTTTTTTCGTTAGTGCTGTGCTGATATGGTATTTTTCGCACACATTCTGTTTGCTGTCCGAGTGAGAGATTAGTTTGTGTCAGTGGGTCAATGCACTCGGAATTCGCTGGCGAGAAAGTCTGAAAGGAAGGCTAAGAAAGTGGCAACAATCCGGGGCAGCAAAAGGAAATTACGAAACACATGGCGCCTGCAGCTAGTTACACACAGCAGACAATGCAGCCAGGTAAAAAGAAAGGTGGAAAGCTGGAAAACAGCTAGCAGAAAAAGCAAATGAAGAGAGTTTCAGTTTAGGAAGCAGAAGCAGCTGCTTTCAGAACGTGAGCACGGCTGCAGATACAGATACCCAACATATAGATGGATGTCTAGATGGATAGCTCCTGACAGGTCGCAAAAAAAAAGGAGCCAGTACACGGAAGCACATTGTAAATGGGTGAGAGCATTTGATGCTTATTCTAAGTTTGATTCAGTGTTGCCTTCACAGCTCAAGGCTGTTTAAGGAGGCCCACAAAAGATATAGCCCACTCAATGCGGAAGTTTTTGGTGGCAGATTTAAACGCCCGAGACTGCATATCTGTAGCGTATTTAATTTGTTAAATTTCGTTTAATTTGCTGCATTTATTGCTCTCGTCACCTGTGCAAAACTTTTTATTTATACACCGAGCGCAACAGCCAAACAGAATTTTTTTTGTAGCTGCTGCCTTGTATGCAAACTTCACAACAAGCGTGCTGTTTGTTGGTCGCCTGCAGCTCAAATTCTCCCCGCTCCTCTTGTAAAGTTATGGCAAAAGCACTTAAGCGATTTCATGCAAATTTTTGTATATTTTTTGCTCTGTTTTCGCTCAGGTAAGCATTATGGCTATATGTCTACGGCTGCGAAAAAAAAAGTGAAATACTTATAGGGGAGTCAGGGGCAACAACAATAACGAGCCAAAAGTTGAAAACTTCTGCAAATTGTTGCAGCCAAAGTACCGTGTGCGTATGGGCATTTAGGGCCCAAAGGGAAATGCCTCGATTTACTAGCATAACTTTCACCTTTCCCTGAGGCATATACTTTTTCTAGGTCGAGATATAATGGAAAGTTTGAATTTTAGAGTAAAAAGATACGGGGGTCACAGTAACTGAGATCCAAATGTTTCTTAAAACAAATTACAATATTAATTCTGTATTTTTCTAACCCTGTTGCTTATTAATGTTTTTCTTATAAATTACAGTGAAATTTGCAAATTCTTATTGTTTCTATGCAAGTTGACATTATTATAAGTTTATTTTGACTAAATGAGTTACAGTTTTAAAACTGCATACTTTTTATCGCCTCAACAAAAAAAACGACTGAAATTTGCAATAAGTTTGTGTGCAATTTAAAAATTGTATAATAACTTAAGGGCCTTGAGAGCACAATGCTATAAACCTTAAACTATTATTCTTGTGCTTTCCATTTATTCAAGGCCAATAGTTTGATTTGTTATGCTGCTTGGCACAAAATCGTTTTGTTAACAATTTGCTATATATATAAACGTCGACAGAAAATGCTTTTGTTTTTGATGGTCGCATATAAAAATGTCATCGCTTAAGTGGTGGGATGGATGAATATAATAATAAAGTGGGGAAATATTACTTGCAACAGCGACTTTGGACACGCCACATAAATTAGGAGTGCGTGAAGTCTTTGGCATATAAATTTAATCTGCCGCCAGCGGCAATGGCAACACAAATCAAAAACACTTTTAAATGGGCACGTCGCTGACGTAAAAACATCAGCGAATCGTAATTTGCTTTTGCCTTATTTATTGAATGTTTAGTCGTTGTTGAGCTTGGAGCTAACAAAAGTAGCCGGGACTTGGGCATAAATCAAGCACGTGTACGCCGGACTTATCCTGGCGATATTTTGGAAGCCCTTTTTGGCTTTTGGCAGCCAAGATCGGGGATCCATCTGGCCGACACCGACAGCACTTTGTTACATGCGAACAGAGGAGGTCAGTATACACACAGAAAATAAAACATATTTGAAATAAATAAAGAAAAATTGATACAAGTAAAATAAGGAAAAAAAATGGGTACCCTTTTTTTGGCCTTTAAGTAGTAAATACCATTTTTTTTGTTCATGTTCTCCTTTGCTGGAACAACTAGTATTCTGTATTGAAGATTGACTACTTTATTAGACTATCTTCAAATTTCAGTTAAGTAATCTAAGGTAATTTCGCTTTTGCATCGGTAATTTTTATATTTTGTATTATTGTTAAGAATTATTAAATGTTGATTTAAAGTCTACAAATATTTCTCTAAAAAAATCATACAGACAGAAAAGCTGAATATTAAATTTGAACTAATTATGAAATACAAATGTCTGTAGATAACTTCCATGTAGCTTAACATAACAATTAATAATAAAATAGCGATAGAGAAATAAAATGTGATTTTTGGTAATTACTATTTTTCATTGAACTTAAACTTTTATAGGTAAACAACCATTAAAGAAATAATAATATTATCACTTCAAGCTTTATAGGTAACACAAATACACGATTGCGTTTTCACAAGTCTTTTTTCAGTGTGTACCACCGCCCCAAAAGCCGACAGCAGAGCTCTGAGCTTAAGGTGAGTGCACCTCGGGTTTGGGTTTCCAGATCCAAGTTGCATTTGCATGCCACTCACCTGTTCAGCATTTCGACTTTTACCTGCTCGCAGTGCTCGTTTTGTTTTAGGTCGTTGGTTTTCTCTGCTGGTTGCTGCTCGGTTTGCCTTGGCTCTAATTGAAAATATTTTTGTTTGCACTTCATTAAACCTAAACGGACCAGCAAGCTGAGAGATATGCAATGTCTGTCAGTTCCATTTGGTTGCCGTTTTCACAGTGCGTTAAAAAGCAAGAGAAAAAGTTTTAATAAATATGTATATATATATATATATATATATATTTTATTTGTTGCGAACAAAGAAATGTCGACTGCTCTGAATGTTATTGTTGTTGTTCGCTGACGAAGTTGTTGTTTTAATCCAAAATGCAATCATTGAAATGCATTTTATTTAAGCTGCACTCGCTTATTACATTTTTGCATACAAATTTGGAAAGCTTTTTTGGTGAAGCAGGAGCAGGTGCTGGGGGTATGGAGAAATGTGAAGCCCCAAGCGACTTATTTTTATATGCTTACAACTATGGTGGAGCTGTGATCTCCTACGGAACCAAATTCTGGCTATCCTCTGACCCTCTGTGTGTGTGTGTGCGTGTGTTCGCAAATTCAATGACAGTTTGTGCCTTTTGCAACTTTCAGTTGATTTTTTATTGTCAATCGAACAATAACGAAATCATCGGCCAAGTTACGCCAAACGCCAGAGCAGACTTCGATTCTTCGATGCTCCGGCAGTGAATGTGAATGTGAATGTGACTCAGCACGGCGAAAACTTTAAGGTAGGCAAGTCCCGGAATTTCTGACAGCAGTCGAGCGTGCCACACCCCATCGGTGGAGATTTATATGCCCAGGCGATGTGACTCAATCAATGGCATTTGTGTTGTGCCAGCAGTAGCAGCCGGAGAATCATCTGGAGAATGGGCACACGGAATGGAATGGAATCGCCGGGCTGACTCACTGACTGACTCCCTGACTGACTGACTGGGGGCCATACAGTTTTCGTAGAGCTTTCCTCCCTGAAGCGGCAGTAGCGGGACAGTAGACAGAGACATGCACAGCATTTTGTGTAAAGAAATCAAAAATTTATACAAACTTTGCACAATGAATGAGCAGCAACAAAGCAGGAGCACGAGCACCAGGAGCTGCAGGAGAACCAGTATGAGGATGAGGACCACGACGAGGACGAGTGTGTCCTGCTTCAGCCAGGACAGCAATGGCCGAAAATTGTTGCAGCTCGACTCGCTCGTTTTTTTGACAAAGGCAACAACGGCAAATGTAACATACACTTAACCAAAATCATTTTGAGAGGAGAACAGGGAGATAACACAAAGATCTTAACTTTTTAAAATCAAAAATTGTTTGCCAAAAAAATTATGCATGCGATAAAGCCATCTCTCAAAAGTATTTATATTTAAGTTAAGAATCTTAACAACTGCCAAAAAGTAAGCAATAATTTTCTTTTGATTTTACTTTTAAAACTATTTCTATATACGATCAATAACATTTTTTATCTTCAGCTTAAATCAACTTAATTTTAAAGTTTTAATAATAAGAATGAAGAGTGTAAGTTACTTTTAAAGTAATTACTATAAACAATTGCAAAAAAATAGGGAGTATTTATTAGAGCAGCACATTTTTTGTTTGATTCTTTGAATTTTAAGAATGTTTTTAAGGGCCATCAGAAGAACAGAAAAATCACGATTTAATTATTTTTTGAGTATAAATACAAGTTAAGCCATTTCAACTCATGATTAGCTTAAAATAAATATATCTAAAATCGTTTGTATTGTATTTAGTGCAAACAAAACTTTTAGCTTTCAAATAAAAAGCACAAGCAATATTTAAAATATGCTAAAATTGCACATTGGCCTTTAGTTTTTTATTTGATTTTACAACTAATTTTGTTTTTCAAAATAATTAAAACACTTTTAGATTTCTAGAGAGCCATTTCTCTTACTTAACATCAGGAATTAAGTCTTGATAAAACAAAAACAGCATTTATTCGCAGTGTAGCCACTCGGAGGGCGGCTGACTTGCAAGTTGCAGCAACCAAACAGGGAGCAAGGACAGCTCGGCACCGGACAACAGCTCAGGATGTGTGTAGGTAGGTCGATGGTAGGTTGTAAGGCAGGTCGGTGGGTGTTGTTCGGTGAGACGAGAAGCGCAGTGCAGACGAATTAATTAAAAATTCCGAAAATATCCGGTTAGCTCTATATAACAGTTTCATGTACAATGCCGAACTCATGCTGCATTCGACAAAATGTCTTTAGCCCACCTTTCGAGAGCGTACTCTAGCATCCTGCTAAAGAACTCTAACACTGCACTGCAGAAATTTTAAAATTTCCCCGGGCGCCTCAAGATGGCTTCATATACTATATCTGGCCGACAGCCATTCAAACTATTTTCGTTTCGGCCGTTTACCAGGCAATCTACATAAATGAATTCATTTGCCCATCCATATATGCATATGCATATATGGAAAATGGAATGCAGAGTGTAAGGGTCGTATACGCAATATTTGATATTTATGCTCTAATTGAGGGTACAACTTGAGGTCCTGGCTTAAAGTCATGTTTGTTCACAGAAATAATTGCTGTTGCCAAAAAAAATAAGAGAAGGCAGTAAACGGAAGTGTTACGGCATCAAATATATATAAAGAAAAATCATTAAAAGAGAGGAAAATGTAAAAGGCCGTATAAAAAAGAGGGGAAAGTTAGAAAATGTTCTGTGCTCGTTCAATCGGTCGAGTAAAATGGCCATTTTGTGATAAAAAATGACCGGAATGCTCGTTAAAACTAAAAACAATTGACCAGATAAATTAGCGGCATTAAAATACTGAAAGGCCAAAAAATGGTCCAAAGACCGGAAGGAAGTGCGAACGATTGATTCAATTAATTGCCAAATTAAAAGCGAAGCACATTTTATCCGCAAAAGGGAAGTAAAAGGGAATAAAAGGCAATGTTATGACAATGTTAGGAAACCAAATAATAAATGATGAAGGGGCTGGCTGGCTGGCAGTAACCGATCTGGGCCGACACAAAGTGACAGCCGCCGGGGGCCTCACAATTGAATTTATTATGGCATTTCGACTCGGAGAGCGTCAATTGAATGAAAGTGGACCAAAAGCAAAAGCCCACCCACACACACACACACACACTTCCACGTTCTCAAAAGCAGAGAGAAAGGAAGAAAGTCGGGCAAAGCTCTGTTGCAATAGCATCATTATTGGACTAAACCGAAACTATTTGCCTCAATGGGCCACAAAGCGCCACACGACACGCCAAAGGACACAGCCGGAGAATCAAACAGAGAAAGGAGCAAAACACAGACATCGACGACTGCAGATAGTAGAAAGGACATGGACATCCACATCCACATCCACGCCAGTGATAGTCCAATGCCCTCGGGGTGTACTTTTCGCCACTTTCGCTACGGCCAAAAGTGTTGACTGTCTTTGATTTTGTTTGTCTGCCTGTTTTGGCTGTTGGCTGCTGGCTGTTGGCCGGTCAACTTTGGGCCTCGCTGGAGCATGGGTTAGGTTGCCCTAGGGGGAAAGGGCCAACACCAGCAATTACACACAGTTTTGTCAATCGAGGGAAAGTTTAGAGACTATGGCGCATAATCAGCAAATGAATCATAAACCAGATGGCTGATACACTCATTACAGAGCGCTCGCTTGACCCTGCTGTCATTACACAAGAAGAAAATTATTAAATAAAAATGTGTAAACGCATTATTAACATTAACAATAATCAAATAATATATTTTGGTTTATCACCAAACTTATCGAAGAAATCTATGTACTTCACAAAAATGTATATAAATTAGTTTATTAAACCATACAATAATCGAAGTATCTTTACTAGTTATAAAATTAGTATACATTACATTTTATGGTTATTAGTTATATATTTTTTGAAGGCTTAAGTATTATAAGCTTTTAGTTTAAATGTCAGAACATTTTCTGATAAATATAATATTTAAGTGCCACATTGGAACATTAAAGAAACGGTGTTTGACTTTTGAAATCTTCAAAATTATTTATTAATTTTTTTAAAATTTAGTGCATTACTTAAATTAAATTAAAAAGTCTATACATATGCTAAAATCTTTAAAGTTTGCAATTTATCGTTACAATTTTTTTCACTGTACTATAGAGCCCGTTAGCAAACGCATTGTGGCTACAAACAAATTACAAAATCGGCTAAACTTAAGCCGCCGTGTTGTGTGCAGTATATGACTAAAGCGCCGCATGCGGATGCGCTGAAATCCCGGCCATTGCAATTGGCTTTTTGCGGACCGCACTTACGTGCAGCACGCCCATATACACACGGGATCACACACACATACACACACCATGTCAATGTGTGTGGAACATAACCCCTTCTATCGGGGACAAAACAAAGTTAAATCGGCCAAATCCTTTGACCATGTCACACTTTTATACATAATCGTTGGACGGGCACGTGCAGACAACCGCAATGTTGTGCGAGGATGACTAAAAAAAAAGCAACAACAACAAGCACAAGAACCAAAAACCGAAAAACAAAATACCAAAAACAACGGGAGCAAATTACAACAAATGGTCAGCGAACAACAGCAAATATTACGTATACGTGCGTTCAATGTCCTGATGGGGTTGAAAGCAAGGCCAATAATGCAAAAGGCATTAACAGGACCAGCACTGGTTTTCCATAGCAGTTATTGCCATTAACATGGCTTAATTAGCAAACTGGCTGTAACAACACCGGCTTAAAGCATAATTGTAAATATTTCCGGACTTAAACAACCGACCAGAACATTTCTCTGAATAATGAAATGAGCTTTTGGGCAGCTAGGTCAGCGATCTGAGGAGCGTTACATATGAGATGGCACTGCGCACAATCTGTAGATGAGAAAAAAAATAGTCTATGAAGTAAACAACTTTGTAGGAAAGAGGACATGCTTAATATGTAAACTTTAAATAAGTTTTTAAGAACTCAACTATAGTTTTTTTAAAAATATTTTTGATAATAAAAATCTTTTTCGATCAACAATTTTGTCTAACATATTAGCTGGACTCAAGTAATACTTTAAGATCAAAATGTTATCATTTGGAATCCAAATAAATACATTTAAAATTCTGAGACTCAATTAAAGCAAGTTAAATAAAGCTAAAAATTTAAACTTAAGACACACATAAGTTCATTATTTAAGAACTCAACGTTGGTTTTTTATAAGCATTATTTTTAATTTTCAATATTAACATTAATTTAATACTTTTTTGAAATCAATCAGTTTTTCTAAAATATAAGCTGGGCAGAAATAATATTATAAGATATTTAAGGACCCAAAAAATTACATTAAAAAATAGATTGAAATTATCTTTCAAATTAAGTTTACAAAAACGAATTTTTCGTTTAAATTGATTTTAAAATAGCTAAAACTTATCGCTTTTATTAAATTTTAAAAATATAGTTTATCGTTCAAATTGATTTTGCAAAGATAGATTTAAGAGTATTTGTTAAAAATATAAGTTATTGTTAAATTAATTCTACTCAGACAGAATTAATAATTAAAAGGTTTGAATATACAAAATTTTACTTTGAAAATTATGGTTTATTGTAAGTTTTCTTTAAAACAGTCCTTTCTTAATCAACGTGAAAAATAATTTGTTTTTCTAATTTTCATTTTCATACCATGACCAGTGTTTGCCGATTGGCCTCAAAGAAGTAGCCATCAATGGGACATCCTCTTCTCGCCCGCATCATGGCAATCTTCAAGGACCTCACAAGCTGGAAGTTCTCCTCCATAAGACTTGTCCAGTGGCTTTCGTAGATGGCCTGGCCAAAACGCTGGCATTCAGTATTAACGCTCGATCCGCAGAAACAGTAGATGGATACCTGCCCGAGAATGGCTGCAGTGAAAGCGGCATAGAAAAGCATTGCTAGCTGCAAAAGATTGGCGGATAGTTGGTAGCACAACACACACAGGTGCAAGGAGGCCGCCACAAACTGGGCAAATATAAGCGGCCTAAAGTAACCATTTAACGAATGACCCAGGTCCAAGCACTCATCGTATAATTGAAATACGTGGACCAGGTTCTCATGGGTCTCTCGAGGACTTCTTCCCTTGAAATTTAACATTTTGTGCTGGGAAATCATGAAGAGAGCACTGAGATTATGGGTTAGCGAAGAAAACAAAGTGTCCACGCAAACTGTAGGCAGAGCCACGCCCAAAGCTGCGCACACATTCCACATATAGGATATTAAGTAGTTTATGATGTGCGTGTTGTCCCAGGGATATCTAAATAAAATGATGGAGAATTAATCAGGGCTTGTTTATGTATATTATTCCTACACGCTGGGAAAGGGTAAATCCGGCTGCAGTTGACCGGTTCGATGGTAGCTGACCCACATGGACAGAGGAGACATCAAACAGGCCGATAGACCAGCCGCCACAAAACAGTTGCTATACAAAGCACTGACAAACTGATCCCGTCGATTCTTTTTTGATATGATAAGCTGACCCACTGACCACTGGATTTCTACAAAATTTAAGCATTCAAAAATTATTAGTTAATCAGAAATCAATAAACTATATTAAAATCGATGCTATCAGTTCTCCAAATCTGTCGGTGATATTCAAGTTGCCAAATAAATCAATAGACTCTTAAAAACACTTTTAAATGTGTCTTAAATTAAGTTGCAAAAAAATAAGAACATTGTCTTTGATATGTTTTTCAAACCGTATTGAAACCAATCGAAAAAATGTGTATTTGAAAACTTTGTTAAAGAAAATCATTGTTTATAAAACGTTGTTTTTATCTACTGTAAATATTGTGGGTAATTTTAAATTTTCTACTTGAAAGCTTTTCTGTGTTACTTATTTGACAGTTCATAGATGATTCTTTAATCAGCCATATTAAAATCTTGGCTTTCAGTTCTTCATTTACCATTTTACGCTAGAAAATATTTTTAATAATTTTTCACTAGAAAATATTCTTGAATAACTCACCCCTCTGCAGGATGATGTGAAATCGGTGAACTAAAGACCTAAAGTCCTTGTACCGCCAAAGGAAAATCCCAATCTTGCAGAGGGCCAGCAAATCGACGAGAACGGAGCAAAGTGAGTCCGTCAGTTGCTCCACGTCTTGGATGTTCCGAATGCCAAAGGCTATGGTCAGGGGCAGGAAACTGGCCACCGAAAGGATGCAGCAGATGGTTCGCCGGGGATATCGATGACTCACATCCTGGCGCTGCAGCAATTCGAGTCCCAGCAACCGAAAGAAAACTGACTGCAGCCGAAGGAACTTGTCCGTCAGCATGTCGAATCGAGTGAGTAGTGCAGAAATTAATGAGTCCTTTTAAGGACGAAGGCTCAGTGAAAACTCATGCTCATTACCGGCTAAGAAAAATCAATAACCCATTAATGTGACTACCCATCAACGGTATTTATTATTTAAATTCAAGGGCCCGGGACCACTACTTACCACTTCTAGACGAACTTATAATATTTTATGCAAAGTAGAGCTTTCTCTGAAAAACAATTTTTCAGTTTCGATATTGAAACAAAATTACCGAATGCTTAAAAAAAATAATTAAAAGAGTAAAATTCATGACACACCTACAATTGAATGAGATACAATAACAATGTGATAAATCATTTGATGTACCAATATCAATAGATTATTAAATAGCCTAAAAATTTTCAATCAATTTAAAAAAAAAAAATTATAAACATACCTTGTAATTTTTCGTGACTTGCAAATTAAATAACCCGTTTTACTTGTAGTGCTAGGATGTCAAATAAAAAATAAAAAAGACCAATCAACTTTTTCTTTAGAAATGAAGATGCGGTTTTTTGCCTGGGGAATCTGCATCAGCAAGCAGATTCAATACCCTTCTGAGATATTTGCACAATAAATTATACTTAATTAAAAACAATTAAAAGCAAATTCCAGTTGCAGCCGTCAAGCAGCTCGGCCTGTGGTGCTGCAAACAAATCTCTCTAAGCCACTGCAAATATTTGGCAGCAATGCAATGCTAGGCAAAAACTAAAACAAATCCTGGCTGCATTTCTAATGTGAAAACTTTTGTTTGCCTCGCTCCTTGAGTTTCCCACTTTTCAATTCCCCATTGCCCCAAGTGAAAATTGTACTTGTCTCACATTTCAGGGTTTTAATTACTGCTAAGCCCGAGACTTTTACCGGGCAATCGTATCGGTATTGTTGTCGTGGTCAGAGATCACAGCAAAGTTTTTGGCCATCGTTAGGTTGGATAATATAGCTGGCAAAATAAATTAATGCAATTACATGCTCGGCAATCCGGTGTCTAAGTGCAGTCATAAAGTACACAGAAATTTAGTTCCAGGACAAATACAACACACTTTGCAGCGACAGCATTATTAATTTGATGTGTGAATGCCAAAGAGGTTAACCCCTGATTCTATTTACTCAATTATTAGGCGTCTTCAGTTTCGTGACCACTCAGTAATTAATTAAAAAACATTTTCACCTGCATATTGCAGAAAAGAATTCTCTGGCGAAAGCCCAACTTTGGCCTAGGCGCACATAAAACAAACATTGACACACTGACCAAGCCCACGAAATGGAGTTTATATATTTTTCGGTAAAACAGTAAAAACAGTTAAAACAGTAAGGCAAAACTTGCTGGAAAACTCAGCTGGCAGCTGGCAGCTAACAGAAAAGGGAAACCTTTGGGGGTGGTGGCCAAAAAACTGTTGAAGAACTTTTTCTTACTCGCCGGCATTGTTATTACCACGTCGACTGCTATGTTGCCATGGCAGCCCCTCAACGAAACTCGAATTTCCTTTTTAAGGAGGCGTGAAATATTCGAATTAAAAACTCCAAAGAATTATAATACTTAAGTCGAAGTCACTTGATAACTATTGTTCCGTTCAGTCTCTAGCACTTATCAGTTCATTTGTTTTGAGGTATAAGCCCTGAAAAACTGAATGAGGTACTTTTTTTTGCAATAAAGACAAAAGAGTATCCCTTGACTTGGTGCCGACTGGCACAAGTTCAAAATACTTTCCCATTTAGTTGTTGCACTGCCCGGACAGCAGTTGAATCCAAAATGAAATACTTGATTTCAGCCTCCGTGGGATTTAGCCTGCAACTCCGGAGGAGCGAAAACTTTGCAGGAAGTCAACTTGGCAGAGGGACTACTACTATAGCGACTGCGACTAAAACGAAAGCCTTGGAAGCAGTTTGCGTTTGCCTAAAATGTTTAGTGGAAAGTGTTTTAAAATACATTAAAAAGTTCACGGCTGCCCTGGCACGCATTGAATTTATGCGAATTTGGTGAACTCCTTGAGTGGAAACTTTTTGCATTTGCTCTCGCACACCGCCCGCCCAATCAACTTAAATATTTGTTTAGCTCAAGTACTTTCCTGTGCCTCCTCCATTCTGTACATCACTCCTCTTTGTTGGGCATCCAGAATCCAGAATCGTACTTAGACATTTGTAATTAATGCCCCAACCAGGTACATTCTCCACACTGGTAAAATAAAACATTGTAACGTTGTTTTATTTCATACAAAAATACAAAATTTAAGTCTTTGATTTTTTATGCATTGATTATGTTTTTAGTTGAAAAATACCATTTACATTTCATGTGATACGATTCGGAACTTAAATATAATGCATTTAAAACAAGCAGTACCAAATTTAAAATATAGTATTTTTCAAATAAATTAAAGTACGTCCATATTAAATCATGCAATTTAGTATGCATAGTATTTAATTTTATCACTTTATATTTAAAGTATCTAAATATGAAATATAAAATTTTGTATTCAATGGCCAGATATTTATTTTTTTATCAGTTAGTTATTAAGTAAGTTAGTTATTTGGTTAGTAATTAATTTTTTATAACGATTACTTTTTTATGTTTAATTTCAATTGACTAGATTCAGAAAAGATGACAATAACTCTCAAATTAAATTAAACTTAACTAATTTTAGGTATACTTATGTATTGAAAACAAACAGTTACAAATTTTGATTTTGCAAATTAAGTGGAATATTTTGATAATAAATCATGGTATTTACTATTTTACAAAATGATTTTATGATGATTTTAGATTAAATCTAAATGTCATAAACAATCTTGCGCTCAATGGCCAGATATTTATGATTTTTATCAGTGCAAGTATCTTTCAATCTTCGCGGCTGGTAATTGTATCCGTACTTTGGTGGATGATTTTTCGCCTGGAGCATGTTTTCATATTTGCTCCTGTCATCATTTAATGAGAGATATTTTATTTCCCGTCTCATATTTATTGGAATTGGGGGAGTTGGGGCACCAATTTTAGATACTTACGTGGGCTGAATGCCGTCGATGTTCGAGAGGCCCTCGACTTTCACTACCTGTGAGTTTGAGTGCGGCTGTGAGCTTCTGTTTATGCCATGATTTGATACGCTCGAAGGAAACTGTCGAATTTGCAAATGACGAAGCCCTATTTTCGATCTCGAGGCGCTTTTGTCTAGGCCCCGAATCGACGCAAATGGGAAAATATTTTTGCAAAACAAACAAACCCCTAGTAATTTGTTTTGCCCTCTCCACCCGGGAAATCCATTTTCGTGGGAAAACAGGCCTTTGCCTCAAACCCGAATGTAAATGGTTTATTTTTTCCATTTAATTTTTTCTGCTTACTTCTCTTTTCGCAGAGCTAATTTGCGAGGGCTGATGCAACTGTTGAAAAAAGAAATTACATTAACGCCAGTCATTTAACCGATTGCCATGTTTCATTAATAACAAACGCTTGTAAATAATTTTAACAACTATTGCCACAACTGTGCTATAAGTCAATTAAAAGTGGTGTTTTACAAAAGGGAATAGTTTAAATACTCTTCAAACTGGAAAAACGAAGTAGAAAATTTTGGTTTGATTTGAAATAATGCATTTAAAATTAGAAGAGAGTGCTCAATTCTGGATTAATATGTATGACCAATTCCAAAAATCTAGCAACGCTTTTTAAAATGATGACTACATTATATTGTATTTAATTATGTGCGATAACAGAGTAAATTAAATGTTTTAAATATTTAAAATTTCAATAGATACATTATTTATTTACCTACAGATTTGTGAATTGTAAATCAGAATTTTGAAATATTAATTATAAACAATATTAAAAATCTAACAAGTCATGTTAAAACAATGTAACAAACTAAATATTTAAGAATAGAATTCATCAATTTAGCAATGATTTCTTAAGTAAAAAATAACCGTTCTCAGACAAATTCCATTTTAAATCAGATTTTGTGGCATTTTAAGTGATGACTACTCTCTGTCGATATTTCGTATATCGTTTGTACATCCACTGATAGAGTAAAGGTACGCATGAAAATGTATAAAACGCATTTAAATTATAATCAATTTAAAATACAATCGCTTACTGGTTGATTGAGGTGGAATTCGGAGGGCAGCGACATCAAAACAAATGAGAAAGAAGTTTCATATTGAATTAATGCAACTAATGAATATAGCTCGTGCAACGTGCAACGTGCAACGAAAAAACAGGCTGGATAAAAAAGAGTTTAATTTAATTTGTGTCAATGCGAAGCAAAGGAAAATCAGACGGCGCTTTGCTTCGGACATGGAAAATTGTATTAATCAGGCAAATAAGTGTTCGCTTCATTTTATGAATAATTTAAAATATTTATTGCTCTACCTGTGGCCGAATGCTGATGAGCCAGCGGCAAATTGACTTTCCGTTTGCCCACGTGGGGCACAATTGCATAATCAAATCCACAACTATTCAATTATGTTTGTGTCTTTTTGGCAGTGACAGCACAGCTTCAGCTTCGGCTTCGTGTGAGAATAATTCGGCCAAGACCCAATCAAAGCCGAATTTAATTGAATTTAATTTAATGAATATCCATATCGAGTGTTCAGCACAAACTCGATTTGATTTACGCGCTCTGGCTGAGGCCTGCAATAATAAAAACCCCCTTCATACTGAGTTGCCCAGCTGGCTGGCCAACCAAATGGAGCCATCAACGGACCACGACTGAAACGAAGCTCTAAAAACGATGCTTGAATCGGAGTTCTACGGAATGAAATGGAAATAGGGCATGCGCTGGGTTGCTCCTGTTTCATTTTCACTATACCCCTGAAAACTACTCTTTGGAAAATTCGAAGAGAAAAGGCTCTTTGCCGTAGCTTATCACAGAAAGGGAGAAGAACTTGGCCAGCAATTAGACATCTGTCAGCGTGTTGACCCAGGAAACACTCAAAGAATTCCCAGCGAGGCACTCCATCATCTCCCAGGACACCAGTGGCCACCCCACTCCACTTGCACTGCTGGGAACTTCACAATGTTTTGATGACCATAATGACAACAATTAAATATAAATCACCCAGCAACAACATGCCAAGGATTTACCTTCGTTCTTTTTTTTTTTTTTTTTTTTTTTTGGTTTCAGCCACGCACGCATACAATTAGCTTTTATGGCCGCGGGCCAGAGATGCGGAAAAGCAAGGAAAATAGTGGTCATGACCATGGTAATTTGAAAATATGGTAATTATGAAGCGGCTTTTGTATAAAAAACAGAGAAGCCGAGCAGCAGAACCTCTGACACCGCCGCAGTGTCTGTTCTAATTAGGCGCACATAAATTGTACCACAAACAACAACAGCGAGGAACAGCCAGGAAAAACAAAAACAGCAACAACGCCCATCAACAACAAATCCTAAATAACAATTAAAACAATTTTGCAAGATTAAAAACACCTTCCAGCCAATGCTTTAATATTTTAATTAAAAATTCCTTAGCCTCCGCAGTGAGGTATAAGGTGTTAGTCAGTCCATTCCATCCACTTCGAGAAAAGAGCCCCCTTGAACAGGCCCTTCAACGAATGAGTGGCCGAGTGTTCCCTGAATGTTCCCCGGAGGCCTATGACTTTGAATTATTGCACGGCGAGTCATAAATTAAGTGCGTGGCCCTTCTGACCCCTGACCCCTGGAAATTCTGGGCCCAGTTGTCGATGGTGGCGGCGATTTTGAGCCCCGGCCAATCAAGCACTTGCAGCCCATTAAACGGTGGCCCAGGATAGTGCTAATTCTAAAATATATAATAAGAAAACACATAAACAATATACTTTAAAAGCTCTTGTAGTATTTTACTGGATTTAAACAATATTATAATAATAAACAATAATACGATTTTATTTATTTGGTTTAAACAGTAACATAATGAGTGAATGTGTCCAAAATTAATGTACATATTAATATAAGTAGTATAAGCACTTAAGAGTATACTTCTCTGAGCTTTTTATAAACATAGCTGCAATCTAAGTTCTTAACTGTTTAAATCAATTATAAATTTATCACTTTAAAAAGTAGTTAAAATTAATTAAGCTTTTCTTAAAAGTAGCTGCAATCTATGTTCTTAACTGCTACAGAACGTAACAGAAAGTAAATAATAAATAACATTTGTTATAATCAAAAATGGCATTTAAGATAAGAAACCAAATTCACACTGTTCTATGAAAAATAAAGTGCTTCAACTATTTTATTTGTCTGATCATTGAGTTTTTAATAGATCAATTCAATAAAATCAACATAAATACAAATTACTTTCCCTTATACTAATAAGTTATGCTACTTTGGTTGACTTCCAAACTCACAAATTGAAAACAAATTGTAAATGTAGATTGTAGATGATATATTATATTGGATATCTATAAAATCAATCCAGTGAAAGCTAAGTTGCCAGCTGTATGTGGGATAGTAATCCACTGGCTTTGTTTTTGAAAACCAACCTGTTGCTATTTATATCCACTTTACAAGAACATTTTACCCACTTATCGCTGCTCTTTCTCCCGAAATATTCGAGTAACAGAATTTGAAGACCGAAATCGGTGGGCGAATGAGGAGACCCTTAGACCTTCATAAATAAATGCGCGAAGTTTTTGCGCGGGAAGCGGCTGCGCTGAACCCGTTTACTGGGAGGCAGAAGCATGTGGCCAGGATATGGGGGCAGCATGAGGAGTGGCACTTCTCAAGTCGCTGTTGTGGCCATGCAATCAAATTCAGACATTCGGAGACACTCTCACCGCCCACTTGCGCTGCTTAAGTGTCGTAAAGTCCTGCTAAAGGATGCGAGGGCAGGCTGAGAAGAAGGAAAACGGGGGGTGGCAAGGACAACAACAAGTGCGGCTTTTATGATTTATGCAACTATCGCCTGCAGCCAAAAGTGGGTGGCATTTTTTTTTTTTTGAGGGTGGGAGGGTAGTGGCAGAAAGAGCCATTGCCAAAATCCTTGAGAGAGCCGCCCGAGGCGCGTAAATTCTTAGCTTTTTTATATATTTTTTTTTGGACATACGTCTCAGACTAAGCGGTTCGTGGAAAAGGGAGGGGGATAAGAGGGATAAGGGGGAAAAGCGCTTCAAATTGTGCAATTTTTATGGACGCGGTGGGCGGCAAGGGGGCGGCATTCATGAATAAAAGATTTTCCGATTCCGCACGACACCAAAATGCCTCCGCCTTCGCCTCCGCCTCCTCCTCTTGTCGCCCCAATTTATTATGCTGTTGGCCTTGCCGAGTGCAAATAATAAGCAGCAGCAAGTGCACAGCCACGCCCACCTGGCCACACGCCCACACAATTGGAGAGGTCGTGGAGGAAAGGCCTGGAAAATTAGCAAAGCAAACGCTCGGCTGCAGTTTACTTGCCATTTAAGCGCCGCACTCGACAGCTGTGTTTGTCAGTGGCACTTGCAACCAGTAACCAGGCAACAACAACAGCAACAACAACACCCACCCAAGAGCGACTTGCAACGTACAACCTAACAACCAACAACAAGAAAAACCGGCAACCTGCAACGACAGCCACAACAGCCCGAAAGTTGCCCTTGCAGTTTTATTATTTTTCTTCCCACGGCATTGTTTGTCTCTCGAAACCAAAGGCTCGTCTTAGGCCTTAAAGAAATGCATATAAAATATAAAAATATTAGGCAAGCACAAAGGTGGGTGGTTAGGGTGTAGCAATTTCGATTTGCAATTAGTTAGTTCAAACAGCTGGGAAAAACACATTCAATCCCTTCCGTTCTGACAAATCCTTTGGCAAACCAAATATACATATGTAGTTAAAATTGGTTTGTTCTAAATATTACACTATTTACTTCATTGTTGTATCTTTTAAAATTCAAATTCTAACTTAACGTTTTTTTAAAGTTATAATTTTAATATTTAATTTCGTTAAGAAATTGCTGACTCTACGAAATGTCGAGAGAAACTTGTATAAGTATTAAATAGCTCAAAATAGGTTTCAAATTTAGCTAGTTTACTAGTGGTAGCACCTTCTATCAAATTTTTAATTTTATTTTAACCTCAAGATGAATTAAATTTAATTAATTATTAGTTTAATTTTAAGAAATTTGAATAACTATTTTATATATGATTTCAGTTCTTTCATTTTAGACGTGGCGCCATCTGTTATCTGAGTCTAAAAATTCTGTCAAGCAAACTAAGAGTGCTGCCCTTTTCATGGGCATCGCTTTTTAAATTTATTTATCCAAAGGTTGATGTGTCTGATAAAGTACTATCCGATTTCACAACCTTAAGTCTTTCTCACTGCTAAAAAGTGGCGCTTTATTATTTTCATGATTTTAGTTCTTTTATTTTAGACGTGGCGCCATCTGTTATCTGAGATCAAGAATGCTGCCAAGCAAGCTAAGAGTGCTGGCCTTTTATGGGCATCACTTTTTAAATTTCATTTATGCAAAGGTTGATGTCTCTGATAAAGTACTATCCGATTTCACAACCTTAAGTCTTTCTCACTGCTAAAAAGTGGCGCTTTATTATTTTCATGATTTCAGTTCTTTCATTTTAGACGTGGCGCCATCTGTTATCTGAGATCAAGAATGCAGCCAAGCAAGCTAAGAGTGCTGCCCTTTTATGGGCATCACTTTTTAAATTTCATTTATGCAAAGGTTGATGTCTCTGATAAAGTACTATCCGATTTCACAACCTTAAGTCTTTCTCACTGCTAAAAAGTGGCGCTTTATTATTTTCATGATTTCAGTTCTTTCATTTTAGACGTGGCGCCATCTGTTATCTGAGATCAAGAATGCAGCCAAGCAAGCTAAGAGTGCTGCCCTTTTATGGGCATCACTTTTTAAATTTCATTTATGCAAAGGTTGATGTCTCTGATAAAGTACTATCCGATTTCACAACCTTAAGTCTTTCTCACTGCTAAAAAGTGGCGCTTTATTATTTTCATGATTTCAGTTCTTTCATTTTAGACGTGGCGCCATCTGTTATCTGAGATCAAGAATGCTGCCAAGCAAGCTAAGAGTGCTGCCCTTTTATAGGCATCACTTTTTAAATTTCATTTATCCGATTTCACAACCTTAAGTCTTTCTCACTGCTAAAAAGTGGCGCGAAATGATATTTGTAGCATTCACACTAACATACTTTATTTATAAATTAAATGTGAACAATGTTATTTCATTAAATATTTTGGACATTTTTGTTTCAAAAATTAGAATTGTATTAATAAAAAAAAATTTTTTTTAATATTAGCTTTTTCCGATTGCTTATTTTCATTGTATTGTAAAACCAAATTTTATGTTTAGAAATTAGTTTGCAATTTATGAAAAAACCAATACATTCTGGAACACGTTTAAATCATTAATCGTTAAACAAATATTTTTTTTTGTATTAAATAAGAATTTTAATAGTTGGGTAGCTTGGGAAACTACTGTAACTAAACAAGCATTCCAAAGAAACTATTTTCTATAAAAATAAACAGTTCAAAATTCAGCGACTCATTAAATCTAAATTTCAAAAAGTCCAAAGAAACTATTTTCTATAAAAATAAACAGTTCAAAATTATACTGACGTTTTCCTTTATTAAACGGACTTAGTTACAAAACTTGGGGGTCGCGCGATTTTTACATTGCAATTCCGTGTAAGGGTCTGAAAATGAGTGGAACAAAAACTCGGTTTGCCGCTCTGGGGGATTCATCTTCTGTCTGTCTGGTTAGTGATTAGTGATGACTTTAGTCGGAGTCGGAGCGTGTGGATGCCTTCTTTGATTTTTTATGCTTGTGCTTCTTGTCGCGATGTCGGTCCTCCGCACTGGACTCGCGTTTGCTTCGGGTGGCGCTGGCAACGGTTTTTGCCTCGCTTCCGGCGGCTGAATCATCTACAGCAGCCACCGCAACCACTCGCTCCTCGTCCTGCAGCTTCTTCAGAGTCTCGGCCTTCAGGCGCTCGAGTTCGTTGAGTTCGCGCGTGGTGCGCTCCTTGTCCATTTCATCCTCGCGCTGTTTCTCCGACCGGCGCTCCTCGAGGTCATCGTGGCGCTGCTTCTCCAGCCGCAGCTCCTCCGCCTTGGCGATCTCCTTGCGCATGTGCTCCTTCATCAGCAGTGCGGCCTCCGCCCGCTTTTGCATCTTCTCGCGGGCCGCCTTCTCGCGATCCTCGTCCATGGGCAGGGCGGAGGTCAGTTTGGGCAGCGGACTGCGCGAGCGGCGGCGGCCGCGGGAGCGACTATTTGAGGGACTGCGACTACGTGAGGAGCTGTGCCGGCGTCCGCGGCTGCGACTGCGTCTGTTTCCGGACGAATCGCGGCGCCTTCTGCCCGCCGACTCCTGTCGCCTTCGGCCGGACGCAGCAGCGTCCTGTCGTCTTCTGGCAGGCGATTCCTTGCGTCTCCTCTCGGGCGAATCCCTGCGCTTTCTTTCGGGCGAATCCTTGCGCCTCGAACCTTGTCTTTTGACTGGAGAATCCTGTCGCTTTCTGTCAGCGGATTCTTGACGCTTTTTAACCGGCACATCCTGACGCTTTTTTCCCGGTGAATCCTGCTTTTTCACTGGGGAATCTTGTCGCTTTTTGCCCGGCGATTCCTGGCGCGAATCACGTCTTTTGGTCGGCGAATCTTGTCGCTTTCTGTCCGAATCCTTTCGCTTTCTGCTCGCACTGTCCTCACGTGTTTTGCCTGCAGAATCCTCTCGTTCTTTGCGAGTAGACTCCTGTGTCTTTTTGTCATGCGAATCTTCTCGCTTGCGATTGCGACTGTTGGGCGAATCATCCCGCTCCTCACGCATCCTTTTGTTGGGAGAAGCCTCCCGCCTTCTGTCATGGGAATCGGCGCGCTTTCTTTCCGGTGAGTCGCGACGCTTTCGTACCGGCGAGTCCTGACGTCTTCTGCCCGACGACTCCTGACGCTTGTGCTTGGGTGAATCCTGCCTGCGGCCCTGACTACGGGAACGCTGCTGACGCCGTCGGTCGCCGCTGGGAGAGCCCCTTCCTCGGATGGGTGACAAGGGATAGCGATTCCGGTACTCGTTATCCGGCGAACGCGAACGACGTCGTCGATCCCTGTCCGCAAACGGGTTGCGGCGATTGCCACCGCCGCCGCCGCGATTGAACTGATTTTGATTCGGGTTCTGGGCTGATTGATTCTGGCCAGGACGTCTGGCGGGCGAACGCTGCTGACGACGAGGCGGTGAATTCCGGCGAGGGCTGCGCGAGCGACTGCGCTTGGCCTTGGCCTTCTCCTCCCGCTTGGAGTTCCTATCCTTGCTGGACGATGGCTCCACATTGACATCCAGCTTGCTGGGTGGCTTCACCTTCAACTGCTCACGCTCTTCGTCCTCCGACTCGGCTTCGGTTTCCGTCTGCTGCTCGTAGTCCAAGGCATTCATGTCCATCGACTTGCGGCGCTTGAGAGGAGTCACATCCTTTGCCTTGTCCTTATCGCCGGCGCTCTCCTTGTCCTTGTCCTTATCCTTGGGCTTGCCGCGTTCGAATGTCTCTTTGGACTTGGTTTTCGGGTCTGGAGAGAATTTATCTGGCGTCACCTTGCCGCCGTAAGTGCTGGCATGGGAGAGTTCGAAAAAGGATTGCTTGGGATTCTTGGTGGCCTCCTCGTGGCGGCGCTTTCGCTCATGCTCGCGACGCTTCACCTCCTCCTCGCGCATCTTGCTCTCCTCTTCGAGGCGCTCCAAGTCAGACAGCTTGATGGTGCGCTTCTGGGCATGCTTCCAATGCGGTGGCGTAGTGCTCCGCGACCGACTGCGCGATGGTGTGCGAAAACGCTGGAAAAAAGGATTATTATTTAGATCGTTTTCTAATGTATTTTAGGAGCTTTGAACTTACAAACACGCCACGGCCTTTGACAATGCGACCACTACGCGATGTCGGCGGCGCCTGCTTCTTTGACCAGCCAAAGTTATTGCGATTGCGGTCTCGATCCTGATCTCTCCCACGATCGCGATTGCGATCCTGTCCTCGACCTTCACGATCCTCGCGATCTCGGGACCTTGATCTCTCGCCGCGCATTAGGAATTTGTTCGATACCTGGACAGAAAGGCATTTAAAGACATCAATATTGTCTGTATACTTAGCACTCTAATGATAAATTAAAAGCAAAGTTGTGCCATGCCTTAAAGGTATACAGGTATAAAGACTGTATAAAAATCACTTCAATTATAATAGTAAATACAAGTTAATGGCGCACCTCTGGTATCTCGTTAGGATCTATCTTGGTAACTGTGACCAGTGGATGGAGCTCGCCCTCTTCGCGCTCTTCGCCCTCATCTTCGTCCGGCGGATTCTGCTCATGCTTTCCATTGCCACGTCTGGCTTCATTGCTATACATAAGATCAAGAAATCATTACAGGAAAATAAAGGACAATAATTCTCTATTGTGACGTACTCTTCGCTATCGCTTGACTTGGTTTCCTTGCGACTACGCTTCTTCTTTTTATCCTTGCGTTCGGCCTTCACTTCAGCCTCACTGTCCTCGCCGTTTGAATCGTCCGTGGCGGTGGAGCGCCGCTTCCGCTTCTTTTCCTTTTTGGCTAAGCGTTTAGAAAAGGTATGTAATTAGCAAGAGTAATTTGAAATATAGTAATAGTATACCCTTTGCATACCCTTTGTCTGTCTAACCAACTCCCCACAGTTGGCTATGGCCGCATCCTGCAGCGGTCGTGAGTTCCGATCGACGGGCAGATCCTCCAATTGGCGCACCAACTCCTGACCGGATATAACTTGTCCGAATACAACATGGATACTGCAAGAAGGAAATATTACATTTCAAAAATTGGATCCATTTAGAGAGTGAGGAACAGGGCAGGTACATAATATTGCATTTCATGAAATTACATTTTTAAATTTTATATAAATTTATGTTTATATGCATCAAAGTAATGATAGAATTGCAATGTGTTTAGCTTTAGTTTTGACTAAAAGTATCAAGAACTTTTTAATAAAATGCTATGCAAGTTATGTACTGTACCTGTGCTTTCAGTTTCAGAATACTTACTTGTCCAAATGTGGCGCAGGCTGTGTTGTACTACAATGAGAAACAGAAGAAGAGAAAAATATTCTTTACACTTTGGCTAACTGGTTGTTGGTTGTTGCAGTAGGCAGTTGTAGTTGAAATCGATGTTGTTGGTTCAGTTGTTGTCGTTTGTTGTTGCTGTTGTTGTTCTTGTTGTTGTTGTTGTTGTTATTGTTGTGCAGGTGTACAACAAAGTTTAAAAGGTATCAAGGTGTAGTAGTAGTAGTAGGTGGCACACACACAGGATTTTGGCAAGCCACCAACCACAAATAGCCGCTGCAGTTGGCCATGGCCAACACGCATGGATCCAGCAGATCCAGCAGATCCAGCTGGAGATCCAAATCCAGATCCCAGATCCCGGCAAAGATCCAGGAAGAGCCGAGAGGGACATAGAGACACACACGCACAGAGACCAAGGACCAAAGACCACGGGAGCAGAAAGAGTGTCCGCCTTTGCCTTGGTTTCTGGACACCACATGGACCGAATGGTGGATGTGAAAGTGGTAGGTGGTGCAGCAGTGAATGGATCTATCCGCTGGTGGTCAGTGGGACGCTCTAGGCACGCTCTACTCTACCCACGGGCTAAGGCTAAATGGCAATAGATTAATGAACAACAACAGACGTTTAAATATAATAGATAAACTGGAGGACGAAGAGAGAGAGAGATTTTAGCTGAATAATCGGTGCCTGCAACAGAACTGAAACTAAATTTGCGGCGGTATTAGTCCGGACTTCGCCGGTGGCAGGCCCTCGAACGAGCTCCACTTACATAAAGAACTGCGATCCATTGGTGTTCTTGCCACGGTTGGCCATCGACAGCAGGAACGGGCGATCGTGCTTCTTGTCAAAGCATTCGTCTAAAAACGGGAAGAGTAAATAGTTAAAGTCTCAGGTAGTCGATGCAAAATATAAACCTTAAATGGAAGCTTTAAAATACAACATCTTAGAAACAAAATAGATGGCTTCACAAAAAAGATGTTTACGCAAAAAAAATTAAATTTTCGGAATACCAATTTCAATTTAGCATGTTTTATTTATTTTCCTGTATTTATCCAAACAGTTTATTTAATTGTATGTAGATTAATTCCTACATTTCTTCAAAATTCCTTCGGTTAAATGGCTTTAACAAAATATATGCCTTTTTTTGAATCCGTTTTATTTCGCACTTTAGCTTTTTTATTTAGCTTTTGTGGATGTAAATAAATAATTGCACATGCAATCAATTTTAAGTTTTTGCTCCCAGATTCTATGCCACCAGCCTTGTTAAATTTAAGTGGATGATTGTAGTGTACATGACATTAGAATTATTAAGTCTAATTGGAAAGAACATTTTAGTTAGATACAAGTTCAAAGTTCAAAAGCCTGTGGGTTCAGAATACGGAGTCCTATAGCTGCCGAAGTAACATTTTATTTAATAGACATTTTATGGTAGTTCGAAACAACTTTAGGAGGAAGTTTTAAATTGAATTACAAACAAATAACCTTATCCCAAAGCTTTTATATGAACGGTCATATCATTACTTGTAAAACCTTCATAAACATCTCCCAAAAAAAAGTTATTCCTATAAAAAGTAGTTTGTGTCAAAATGTTGTATGGTTTTTTTTTTTGTATTGAAAGCCATTTTTGGTGGCTGAATCCCGGGCCCAAAACGTAAGGGTATATAAATGAAACCATTGTGGAGTTCACCCTTTCGAGTGCCCACTGTATTGATTTTTTCCCCAGCCACAACCACAAACAACGGTGCCTATGAATATGTATTGTACATACAATATGAAGCCGCAGCCCCCCTTCCACAAAACTCACCCTCGAAAGTTCCGCCGTAAACCGACTCGCCGCCGGTGCCGTTGCCCGCGGAGAAGTCGCCCGCCTGGACCATGAAGTCCTTGACCACGCGGTGGAAGATCACCCCCTTGTAGTGGAGCTTCTTGCCGGTGGTCAATCCGATTCCCTTCTCGCCCGTGCACAATGCCCGGAAATTCTCCGCCGTCTTCGGCGCCACATCGCCGTACAGTTCGAAAACAATGCGGCCCACGGCCAAACCGCCCAGTGAAATGTCGAAAAAGCATCGCGATCGCGTTGCGCTCGCGTCGCGCTTGTTAACAGTCATTATTATCGCCGCTTTTTTCCACTAAATGCAATTAAATACGTATTTTCTTCCCGTTTTCGCGTTGCACAATGCTGGCGTTGCCAACTCGTTTCAAAATGCAAAGGGTGCAGTGGGACCGTGCGAGAGGTAGAGAGAAAAACTAAATACTGATAAAAAACTTGTCCTGGGACAAGTATTTTATTTTTTGCAAAGTAATTAAACTTAATTTAAAAATAAATAAAACCACTGAATCTATGAGTCGCTGAATCTAGGTAAAGTGAATGAAATTAGCTGTTTTAAAAATTCAGCAGGATCAACTATAGGTCGTTTCCTTAAATGCCAAAAATTTCTTCAATTGGGGAATATCCAACAAATTTGGAATTTAGATAGCTCTTAAAACTTAAAAAACCACAGTTAATTTGTCGTGTACAATTTATTTATAGATTTTATATTGCAGCCACTCACTAACTTAAGAAGGTTTCATGATTACTAAATGTTTTTTTTTTAAATGTTGTCGAAAAAAAAAACCTTAACATGTTTAAGACCTTAAAATTCGTGTTATTTGTATTTGTATAAGATTTACTGCTTAAAGGATTGTTGATTGAATTAAAATAAATTTAATATTACTATTGGTGTTCAATCCCTTTAATTTAAAGTATGCAACTCATATCATTTTTTAAGTATTTGATTTTTGAAATTCACCAATTTTTTGTAATATCTCAATATCCAACGAAACAAAATAATATATATATTAGTAATATGTATTTATTTTCTATTAATGATAATATATATTGCAAATTGTTTGGAACACAAGTTGAAAAGAAAAGAGACATTCAAAATTGAAATCTATTCAAATAAATATTAAAATTTTCAAAAACCGAACTTTTTCCATCCCTTGGTCCGATACGGTCACACCAAAGCCAATGTTTACATGGTGTCTGTTTCACTGTGTGGGTGTGAGTGAGCGCGCAATTCGGCGCATGTGTGAGTGTGAGCGGGAGAGCAAGACGAAGACGTGTTCTTTTGCCTCAAAAAGCAAATAATTTGTTTTATCAGAGAAAAACAAAAAATTCCAGCAACTGTCGGCGATAAAAACACGACAATCGCATTGCAGCCACGACAGAGCCAAAAATCAGCCTCAGCTGACCGGAAAGTTGTACACACTTGCGCTTGCGACGTGGAAAATCACCAAGCGGACTAGAGAACGAGAACTTACTTCCGAGAATTTCAGAATGTGTGGCATATTTGCGTACTTGAACTACTTGACGCCCAAATCGCGACAGGATGTTTTGGATCTCCTGGTGCAGGGACTGAAGAGGTTGGAGTACCGCGGCTACGACTCCACGGGCATTGCCATCGACGCCTTGAATTCCGGGGAGGAGCAATCCATACTGCTGATAAAACGGACTGGCAAAGTGAAGATCCTGGAAGATGCGGTGGCAGAGGTTTGCCTGGGTCAGGACTACTCCCTGCCCATAGACACCCACATTGGGATAGCCCACACAAGATGGGCCACCCATGGCGTGCCCTCCGAGGTCAACTCGCATCCGCAGCGGTCTGACACGGAGAACAGTTTCGTGGTGGTCCACAATGGCATCATAACCAACTACAAGGATGTGAAGACCTTGCTGGTGAAGAGGGGCTACATCTTTGAATCGGACACGGACACGGAGGTGATTGCCAAGCTGGTGCATCACCTGTGGCAACAGCATCCTGGCTACACCTTTGGGGAGCTCGTGGAGCAGGCCATTCAACAATTGGAGGGCGCCTTTGCCATTGCCTTCAAGTCGAAACATTTCCCCGGCGAATGTGTGGCCAGCCGCAGAGGATCCCCGCTGCTGGTTGGCATTAAGGCCAAAACCAAGCTGGCCACCGATCACATACCCATCCTGTACGCCAAGGCCCACCGGCCACATGGTCAGCCGCAACAGCAGGCTTTCCCAGTTCTGCCGCCCGGCGATTGCAGTGCCGAATTCCAGCCGCTGGAGCGCAAGGAGGTGGAGTACTTCTTCGCCTCCGATGCCTCGGCCGTTATAGAGCACACGAACAGGGTGATTTACCTGGAGGATGACGATGTGGCCGCCGTGAAGAGCGACGGCACCCTCAGCATTCACAGGCTAAACAAATCCTCTGACGATCCGCATGCCCGGGAGATCATCACCCTCAAAATGGAGATCCAACAGATCATGAAGGGCAACTACGACTACTTTATGCTGAAGGAGATCTTCGAGCAGCCGGAATCCGTGGTCAACACCATGCGTGGCAGGATGAGGTTCGACACGCAGAGCGTGGTCCTGGGAGGAATCAAGGAGTACATACCGGAGATCAAGCGTTGTCGCCGTCTAATGCTGATAGCATGTGGCACATCCTATCACAGTGCTGTGGCCACCAGGCAGCTGCTGGAGGAACTCACCGAACTGCCTGTGATGGTGGAACTGGCCTCCGACTTTCTGGACAGGAACACCCCCATCTTCCGGGATGACGTGTGCTTCTTCATCTCGCAATCGGGCGAGACAGCGGACACGCTGATGGCGCTGCGGTACTGCAAGCAGCGGGGTGCCCTCATCGTGGGCGTCACGAACACAGTGGGCAGCAGCATCTGCCGCGAGTCGCACTGTGGCGTGCACATCAATGCGGGGCCCGAGATCGGAGTGGCCTCCACCAAGGCCTACACCTCCCAGTTCATTTCGCTGGTCATGTTCGCCCTGGTCATGTCGGAGGATCGCCTGAGCCTGCAGCAGCGGCGACTGGAGATCATCGATGGACTGTCCCAGCTGGATGAGCACATCAGAACCGTCTTGAAGCTGAACTCGCAGGTGCAGGAGCTGGCCAAGGAGCTGTACGAGCACAAGTCGCTGCTCATCATGGGCAGGGGATTCAATTTCGCCACCTGTTTGGAGGGAGCACTGGTAAGGATATTTTTATAATTGTTACTACACTAAATGTAGCTGATATTTTATATAGTTCGTCAATCAAAGACTGTCACTATCATTTGATTTTTTTAATTATTTGCTTTAATATAGGGAAGCACCAATTTGTTTGCACTTCTTCCTATCAGTTAATTCTTTGAATTCGAAATCTAATCTTTTGACTCAGTATTGATAACTCAACCTCTTAAATAACAAGACACAATTAATAAAGCATTATGTTTATTGCCTTTTCTCAAATGTTTGGAAACTATTAGTTGTATATAAAAAATAAGCGAGACCCAGTAACGCTGACCCATTTTTTGATCCGTTTCTTATCTAATCTTTTAACTCAGTGTTGACAAGTGTTTTATTTACATATACATAATTTGTTTATCTTAATACAAAGTGATTTATACATACTACAAGACCCAATTAATTAGCATTGATATAAATGCTTAAACAGATCTTTAACAATAAGATGGAAAAGCACTGATGTCAACAATTTAATTAAGTTGTTTATTGCAGATTTATAATTCCATTTGCCTCTGCACTTTAATCATTCATTATGTTTAGTGCTTTATTGAAATTAATTTATTTCATTCTTTATTTAATAATGTTTTCCGACGGAAATGCTTAGAAACTATGTATCAAAGTACCCTGTACCCTGTTGACTCATAAATTTAAAGTACTTATATTAAAGATTAAATTTTAATTGCCAATCCTCTGCCTTACAGAAAGTCAAGGAGCTGACGTACATGCACAGCGAGGGCATCCTGGCTGGAGAACTGAAGCACGGACCACTGGCCCTCGTGGACAAAGAGATGCCCGTGCTGATGATCGTCCTGCGTGACCCGGTCTACACGAAGTGCATGAATGCCCTGCAGCAGGTGACCTCGCGCAAGGGCAGGCCCATCCTGATCTGCGAAGAGGGCGACTCCGAGACCATGGCCTTCTCCACACGATCGCTGCAGATCCCGAGGACCGTGGACTGCCTGCAGGGCGTGCTCACGGTTATTCCGCTCCAGCTGCTCTCCTATCACATCGCCGTTCTGCGAGGATGCGACGTGGACTGCCCCAGGAATCTGGCCAAGTCGGTGACCGTGGAGTAGGCGCCACTATTATCTGGCATTGTGGCCGCACCAAGAATTCCATTTTAGTATCTGCCTGAGGAAAACAGACCCTAGCATATAAGTTGAAATCTATTGGTATTTGCAAGGACTAAAATCCGATATTACTCCATTTAACCCGCTGTGTCCCAATCGGCTAGAGCCGGATCTGTTAACCGTTTTGTAGCCCCTACTGACCCCCTAGTTGTGTTGTGTCTCTTTTACTTTTTGTGAATGTGCAATTGAAATATAAATATTTCCATATTTTCTAAAAACAATGGTTGAAATTTATTTTGGAAATACTAGTTTTTGGGATTCTATTTCTTTATTTCAGTTTTATCATCCTAAACATTTTTTCCACCGTTTTTGGTAAACTAAGTGAAATAGGATTTAGTTTTTTGTACTTGTTATGAATTATTTGTTATTCATCGAGGAAAAAGTAACGACACAAAAAAATAATAATAATATTGACTATAATAATAAAATGTTATTTTGAAAATATTATTTATATGAAGATTACTTCTGAAAGTTTTAAAATACTAAATAACTATGTTGAAGAGTCAATTATTCTGTAAAAATAAAGGCCACGTCACGTTATCGATGTAATACGTAAAAAACTTTGTAATCTTAAATTAAACCAATTTAGGAATTTAATTTAAACAATTATTCAAAACAGTGTTTGAAAACTCAACAAAAATAACAGCAAAGATCAAGTATTTCTTATGGGGCTATTAGAAGTGGATGATTTCTTAGTTTGAAAAAACAAAAATATTGAATTAAACAACTATTACCTTGAAATGCAACGGCCTTTTTCTTCGTTTTTATTGGGGTTGGTTTTTTTCACAAAACCCATTTAACCGGCAAAGTTCAAAAATTTAAACTGAAACGGTTGAACCGTTTTGAAGAGTTTAAAATTTTATCCAAGTTCAATCTGAAAATCGATCGATTGAGGAAATCGATATCGAAAGAGAAAAAACCGCGAACCGGGAATCCAGGCCCCACAATCGATTATTTGTATACCATCGATAATTGAATTATCTATTTTATTTAAACGGACGGCGCCATTGAAAATATCTTTATGCCTTAGATCCTGTTGTACTTAAAGCAAATTAAATCAAACAATTCAAAAATTAAAATCATCGTTTTTTAACGGCCAAGAGACTCAATCGTCGTTTCCCCCTCCCAAAAATGTTAAATAATAGTTTTCCAAACATAGGCAGCGCTGCGGCTATGGAAGAGCAGAGTAGAGATGGAAACCAACCATCGATGAAAATCGGGAAATCGATATACAAACGGGAAAAACTGCGAACCGGGAAACCCGTTCCCACAATCGATTATTTGTTTACCATCCCTGATTCAACAACAACCCTGCTCTTTTTCTTTTGGACGTAGAACCACATGTCTGGTAACCGAGATTTTGATTTTCTTTTCGGCGGTATAATGCTCCAATTAATTGATTAATTTCGGTTAATTGACAACTCCAGTGAACGGCTAAAGATCAGTGCTACCAAAAACGAGTCAAGTGTGTGTGCAATCGCATAAAAATCGCGATAAATAATATTCGTAACGTTCTGCCCACCAGCGCGTGAGTGAGTGCGAGCGAGAGAGTACGAAAGTGTGTGTGCGAGAAAACCCGCAAAAGCAAAAGCAAAGCAACAATAACAACACACGTACGCACACACAAACACACGCACGCGAGGAGCAGGAGGGGAAAGTGCGTAGTGAACATACGTAAAAAGAGAGAACAGAATTTGTGCGTAAATTCTGGTTTTCATATCATTATCTGGTGCGTATTTAAACGTAATCTTTGCTAGTGTGTGTGACCGCGTGCATCTTTTTGTTGAAATTCGAGGCGAGTTGCAGGCGCAAATCAGCTGTTCTTAAAAACCAGAACCAGGGCGGCACTAACAGCAATGCAGTCGGCATTTGATATTGCATAATCTTCGTTTGAGGAAAAATTAAATGTTTGTTGTCTAGAGTACCATAGAATAACAATATTCGCTAGGCTTTAATTGTTGTTTATCATAACTGCCCTACTCTCTTTAATTTCCTGTCATAAAACTCAACGTTAAAACGTAAGGGCACCACGTAAGGTCTAGCTTGGCAAGTGGGCAGCACTTTTCGGGCAGCCCTGGTCGCTTTGCGTTGTGTTGCCTCTTCTTCTTATTCGCTGCTCTCTTCCTCTTCCTCTTGTGTGGGGCAAAAATCTAACCTCACTTCTTCTTCTTTTTGAGCACTGCTGTGTGGCTGCTGCATAATAATTTAATACTATTACCTCTCAATTCTCGATTGGTCGTGCCTCGCAACCGATTTTCTCCGCTTCTATATAGTATAATCGTGCAAAATCGGTGGCAGTAAATCTAATTCGTTGAGCTGAAAATCGTGGAAAAGGGGAGAGGCTTTTTCCGATGGCCAGTTCTTAAAAATTCGCCGCACTCCTCGGGAGGCTTTTCTGCAGTCCCCAGAAAATAAAATAATCCCCAATTACAGAAATTCACTCGTTTTTAAGTGCAGTGTATGTGTGCGTGTGTTGTAATAGTTGCACTAAGTAAATAAATAATATTGCGAGTATAAGTCAACTTGAGATTAATCGCTTCAATTAAGCAAATAACACCTCGAGTTTGCTAAACTTTCAGTTGTATAGAAAATTAAAGTTAAACCAGCCTACAAGAGAATCTATGTAGTTCTTAGTTTATGCCTTGGAATATATATTAAAATTTGTGTTTAAATTACGCCTTAAAATACAATCAAACTAGCCCCCAAACGCTTTTGTATAGGAACACCTTACTAAATACAGTCAATCTAGCCTAAAAGGAAATTCCTGTAGTTCTAAAAAAGTGTTTTTTTTATGGTTTCCTTAGTTTACTTAAAACAGGAACCTCCTCACATTGCTAATATTACACTTTTAAACTAAACACAGTCAAGTGTAAAGCATAACTTATTTAGTTGACTTCAAAGAAGTTATTTTTAAGTCTTAAACTCTTGCAATACGAATACTTTATGCTGATTTAGAGTAACTAAAGTTCTGGTGTGACGCAAAACTAACCGGATTTCACTCTTGCCAACCTTTTGCAGTTTAGAAGCCGATCTCTGGAGCAACCGCATCCCGTTGAGAAGGCACGGAAGCAGCCAAGAGTTTCCCCGACCCGACAACGAGGATCAGCCGCTGACGAAGCCGGAGCAGGAGCAGCAGGAGATCTGCTGCCCACTCTGGAGAGGAGGAGAAACCGCAGTCAAGCAACCGGCAGAGGAGTCGCAGCCACCACTGAGGAGCATGTCCAGCAAGGAGGAGACGCTGTCGTCCACGGGAGGAGGAGCAGCTCCCGTGGCCACGGTCGCCACTTCGAGCAGTGCCGCCACCACGTCGTACGCCAATGTGGTGCAGAATCTGGACACCAAGAAGGGTGGCAACAACACCACCGCCGTGGACAACAACAAAGAGAACCAGCCTAATCTGAAGAGCTTCAAGTCGTGGAGCGAGGAGACCGCCGCCGCCGAGGCAGCCGCCGTGGAGACCCCATTAGCCAGCAGCAGCGTTGGCCTGGCCCAAACGGGGGAGAAACGTGCCGCCGCCTCGGGCGGCGATAACACCGCCGAGAACTCTTCGGAATTGGACGATAACAACGACTTTGTGCCCGTACTATCTCACCATCGACGCGATCGCAAAAAGGCGCGCAAGGAGAAGCCACGCGACCAACAGCCGCAGCCAAGCGGAAGCCGTGGCGATGGTCAGAAATCCCAGCAGGCTGGTGGCCGACGTGTCCCCGGATCCTCGGATTCCGATCGCAAGCAATCAGTGAGGCCCCGTGCTCCGCGCGGCGGTAGTCCCCGCAAGTCTGCAAATCCGGGATCTGCAGTTGGAGCTGCCGGATCCAATGCCGGAGCAGCTCCTGCGGCTGCCCCAGGCGGGTCGAAGGTACACAAGGACCGCAAGGACACCTCGCCGAGTGCCAGCATCGAGGGAGCAGGAAGCAGCGGCAACGAGGCCAAATCCGGCGACGGGGACCAGCAATCGGGGGAGAAAGGTGCAACTGGAGCGGCTCCGCCTCCCAAGCGATTCATTGCCGCACCACCGCCAAAGGTCAACGCCTGGAAGGTGAGTATTCCTTTACTTTCTATTGAGTATTTATAAGTGCTTAAAAGGGGATTTGTAAAGTCACACCTTTCTTAAACTGGAAAATCGATTTTAGTTGTCATGCTAAGCACTTAATATGGATTGGGATTGGGCACTTCTTCTGTTTATATAAAAAAGATTACTAGGGAGACTACAATTGTTTTAAAGAATATTCTTTCATGAGGAATTGGAAAGGGGTAACTTTTGTTAAAGAGAAATATCGGTTTTATTTGTCTCTATAAAAAATGTTTATTTTTTATTTTATATTTTATTTATAGCTATTTAGTAAGTTTATTATTTTTGGGAATAATTAAAAATGAGCTTCAGAATATAAATATGACAGCAAACAGTTACAATGTCATCGATATACTAATAAAACCCTTAGGAAATGCAAATGAGTAGTTATGGATATAAATGCTCTTCTTAAATAGAATCTACAACATATAGAAAAGTGGCTTCGAAGAACAGTTTAAATATAACTTTTTTAAATTTCGGTAGGGTGTCCCCTTAAGGTAATGATATTGTCCTATATGATATGGAAAATAATACAAAAAGAACATATTTAAAGCTGACATAAGCGAATATCCACTGTAAAAGTTGATGAGCTATTTGTTTTGAGGGATCCCCAAATTAATTGCACGTTTTTTTGTTGTTACTCGTATTTCTGTTTCCTCTTCATTTTGTTGTTTTGTCCAAATTGCGTCTTAAAAAATGATGGAAAAACATGACCATATATGTTTGCATGTGTGTGAGTGTGCGTTTGCTTGTTGGTAAACAAATGTGCGTAGAATGACGGAGACGGAGAGAGGGAGCAAAGCAGGGCGGCTGATAAATACAAGAGCAAGGCGAAACGACAACAAACACGCGGCGCATTGGAAACACGTTTTCTACTTTTTGTTGTGGTTTTTCTTGCCCTGTTATCATCGTTATGCTAATACCAACAAACTGCCGACGATTACAAAATTGTATCTCATAGATACACAATTGCAGTTGCATAATATCTGGCGAGAAGCAAGCGTATTTGTCATCAAAACAAACCGAAACACGAGAAGCGAGAGAACCAAACATTTAATTGCATTTATTTTTTATTTGCTCTTGGTCTTGGCTGTTTTTTATTACGCAATACTAGCGAAATTGCCGGCGTTTCTGTTGTTTTTTTTC